CTTAAATTTGACACTTTACGAATGGGCCTTAACAAAGATGCTAACTACCTTACCCATTACAAAGATAGCTTCCTCAATTATCACCCCTAATATCATTATCTCATAGACACTAACCTCTCCTCCTCTGTTCTAAAATCTGATTTGTCAATTTTATGTGTGTTCACTTTTTTTTTATTGTATCCCTTTGGTATATATAGTCATGCCAATTTTCTTTCACAATTTGATCTGAGGAAGTGGGTCTGGCCCACGAAAGCTCATCATCTAATAAACCATCTTGTTAGTCTTTAAAGTGCTGCATAGTCCTGTCTTTCGTTTCAGCAAGACCAGACTAACATGGCTACATCTTTATTACTATTCCATTTTAACTAGATTGATAAATTTTTCTTCCTACTCTCTCCCAAATTCCCTTCTCCATCCTTCTTTGAGACCATTCTCCTGAGGAGATCCTTTGCCTGGAGATAGTATCCATCCTTAAAAATATTCCCTAGTTCCCAAAACAAAGGGAAAGTTAAGACCCACTCTCTACACCAACTCAGTGTCTTTTTTTATTTGCAAACTACAGTTCATATGGTTACAATGACATAAATATTTGGATCCCTCAAAAGAAACATAGTTTTCAGTATGAAAGATGCATGCTTTCATGTGGCTATTGACCCCTCCCACATAAGATTTCTGTCAGGTTTATGGTGGATCCTGACTAGTATCCATACAAGGTACTTCCACTTAGCCTAACAACCACATCCAGCTCCTTCATCAAAAAGTTTCCAGTAGTAGCAGTACAGTTCAGAATGTAGCAGCTTCTCCCTTTTCCTGTATTTAGACTATTGGCATCTCATTTTAAAGGACATGAGAGCCCTCGCATCATTATTATCATCTCTGCTTCACATTCTTTCATCCCTAGAAGTCTATGTGAACATGGAACATCTACCCTGATTTCAACATAGACTTCAGAATTTATAGGAGCAATTTCGACTCAGGGCAGAGGTTTATCTCCCAATGGCGAGATTTCACACCATAAATGATGTGATAGGCCAGGTAATGTATGCCCTTGGAACAGAATTTCAGACTTCCGATGTCTCTTAGGATGCATTATGGACTTGCATTGCACATTCCACTAGACTCCACTTACATTGCTGCGGACTTGGTTCCAAACAGTATATACACTATCCAGTGACACCATGAAGACCATAGTGGTACTTTCTTCCAGGATGAGGACATCATTAACAAGTGTGTGTAGGTATTCCTTTCTTAGTTCCACACTTGAAAATATGATTATTACAGACAATTAGATGGTGCAGGGAAGGACTTGGATTCCTCAAGAGCCTAGAATGTACAACAGTCTTGTGGACCTCCAGGCAGCCCAGAAGTTTGCGAAGCCTTTCTTCCAATTTCATTGAGTGCACATAATGTTGGACAGCATTACTTTACATAAACAGAGCTGAGTTAAATCCATCCTCTTTTGTGTGTAGAAGCTGTCACCTTATGGAACTGGTGAATCAAAAATCATATCCCCCATATCAGCAGTGAGTCTCCAGAAATTCAGAATTAATTGGCAAATAGCCTGAGTTTCCTGAGTCAGTAGTAAACTGCATTTTCATGCAGTGGGGAACCCCCATTTGGGGCAGGCAAATAGGAAATGCAACATGTACTTCTCCAGGGGAGCTCAAGAAAAACATTTCAAAGGCAGTGCTATCCTTCTGCCCTGGTCACATAACATCAGCTATGTCTGCCTCCCATCCTGATACCACCTCAGGTTCTATGGAAGAGTTAGTAAGACAAAGCATAAGTCCTCTTCATTGCTCCTAAATGACCTAGACAATTCTGGTTTCCAAGCCTCTTACAAATGTTGTCCTGTTCGGTGATCATCATGCAATCCTTTTCAAATCTCTTGACCCAGGAGAATGGTAGGGCCTAATATCCCAGCCCTGAAACACTTCATCGTGTGTTGGTATTTGGATGGATGACAAGTCTAGAACATACCCACTTTGAAGCCATAAAACTGTTCTTAATAGCAGAAAGGACTCCACCAGAAAATGCTACCTAGTTAAGTGAAAACATTTCTCTCTTTGGGCCCAACAAGAGTATCTCTCTTCAGAGAGAGCAGATAGCCCCACTTTTTAGAGTTACTAGAAAGACATAAGATCTTTTCCATAGCTCACTGAGTTGACCTGGTGGCACTCAGCATTTGTCACCTACCATCAGCCAGTAACCAGATTCTTGAAAGGCCTCCTTGAAAGGTTTCCATCAGTAAACAAACCAAACCTTGACTGTGATCTGAACTCAGTACTTCTGGCACTTGCTAAGCCACCCTTTGAACAACTGACTATGTTTTGTGTGTTTCAACTCAATGAAGATAGCCTTCCTCATTGCTGTCACCTTGGCCAGAAGGGTAAGTGAACTCAGGGCTTGAACAAATGATTCTCCGTACACAATATTTCAAGAGGGCAAGTTTTGCTCTGACTATATACCCAAAATTCATTTCTAGGTTAGTTTTGGAATTTCACCTAAATCAACTATTTCACCTACCTGTTTTTTTTTTCCCCCTGAAGGACCTATGCCTTTGTCAAGGAGAAGATTCATTTCCTTGATGTGGGATTTTTATCTGTGGAGAACAAAACTGATCAAAAACTTTTCTTGGATTTATCTACAATGCAGTTAAACACTTGTGATTGGCCCTTCTGCATTGATGGGCTACACTGGTGTTTAACTTGTTTTGTAGATGTTTTGAGTTGGGGTTAGAGTCACGGCTCTGGGACCGCACAACGCAGGAGGATCCCAGGGCTCAAGCCTGAGCCCAAACCTCTATTCTGCAATTACAGTCCCATAGCCTCAGCCCAAGTCAGCTGAGCAGTCCATGAAAAGTGGACATTTGGCTAACTAAAATATTCTAGACAAAGGATGTTTCCGGATCAGAGGGTTCTACACTAGAGAGGTTCAACCTGTACTCTCTGTACAGAGTACAAGAAAAGCAGGTACATGGGCATGGACCAGTTCTTCCTGCTTTGAAGAATTTTCTGGTCTCAGGCACATGAAACGCATGTATACCTACAGTGGAATACAAATAGGGACCATGCATCTTGAAGTGCTCCAGTTCTAAAAGTAAGTATTTTCCCTTTGTACATTTCTCTGGATACCCCTCAGTGTCTCATCTCCTTCACTGTATTCTGATTGCAGCCGCAGTCTGAGCCATATTGAATGTACTCAGACTTGTATCAGTCAGAACTGTATTCATGTTTAAGAGCTTGTCAATGTAATTTTATAGCAGTTTTCTAAGGGGGTGGGGGAAGCAGCAAAAGACTTTCTACAGAGCCAGAAGCAAGAAAGGAATGTCTCTTAGCTTATCTCTGTATAGACTTTTGCTTCTCTTTTTTTGACAAACTGGATGAATACCTGTTGTTGAATCATGCTTTTTATTTTCCACTTGCTCGTGTTCTCTTAAAACCAATTCATTCTCTGGTGTTTCTGTGGTGGTGCTGCCCTCAGTTGTGCAAGAATTCGTCTCTCTCTCTGATAGTACTGTGGGTTATCAGCTACACACCAAGGCAACAGATCGTTTTCCTCTAATGCAGCCATCAACTTGGACTTTATGTACAAAAAGTCCTTCTGTTGACAGGAAACAAAATGTGGCCTAGAAAGGATGTCTCATAATAACTGTTTCTTCACTGGTCAGTATCATTGATTATATAGAACTGTACCTGGAGAAAAAGCTTGCTCGCTCAGTCCTGTTAGCATGTGTAGTTCTCCCTACTAAGGTATTTGTTTTGCAGCTAGTTTGTATACTTAGTGTAGCAGGTCAGTATGGTTCCTTTTTAACTGGGATGGATTAAGAGCTCATACTTCAAACATCTGGCCTGAACAAAGGGCCAAGATCCCCAGTTGCTTGGCCCTTATAGAGACAAATGGATCAAACAATACAATTCATGAAGGCCACATCTCCACTTGTCATAACGGAGTTTGAACTTCTGGCATTCGATTTAGCAGGTTTAATTAAGGGACTCTCTGGATGATGCTAGTACACCTCAGTCATGAGGAGTAAGGAAAGCTGACAAGAACGTTGACGCCTGTTGGCCTCTCTGAGACAGCGCCATGCTTGGCTTAAGATAAGCCAACTCCAGCTAAGTATTTTATGTAGCTCGAGTTGCATCCCTTAACCCAACCTTCCAGATGTAGTGTAGACGTGGCCCTAAGTCCAATCAAACTGCAGGTTCTGAAGTTGCTATTTAAACTTCCCTTCACCTTTCCTGTTTGCCTTAGGTCTTTGCTTTAACATGAGTACAATAGTTAAGGTTTTTGTTCAGGGTCTGTTTTCCTATGACCAGTTTTCTAAGATATGGAGAGCACCCATACTAATGCTTTTAAACTCTTGGGTACAAGTGTCTGCTAATTTAAAGGACCAGCCATTCAAAAAAATCATTAACTTTAATAGTTGCTACATAACATGCTTTTTAGTTACTGTTGGATTAAATAATACTTAATCACAATAATATGAATACATTATCCAGGTTGGCTTCAAATACAGAACAAAAATATTTATTGACTATGTCTACATTGTTTACCTTATTATTCAGTTTTATCTTTATCTAGTAATGGGTCTGTATCATTGTGGAGATGTTTTGGCTCCTGACTTAAAAAAAACAAAAACAAAACCCTTTCTTGCAGATGTTTTAGCACATTGGCCTTAGATATCATACCTTTAACTTCTAATATTAATTTCCTGTATTTTAACTTCTGTTTTGTATTAATTATGATTTCTGTCTTGTTTTCCTTTTGTTATATAATTTATTTTTACTCCTTCTTTACTGTCTTAAGGTGGATGTTATTTTAACAAAGGCAGTGGTTTTTATTATGTACAAATTCTAACATATAGGGTACTTTTTGCAAGATAGAATCTGGAATTTCAATTTCAGATGTGGTTTTCTTTAAGCAACTCAAAACTTCATCTCACACGACTAAACTTCAACTCTGTTTATTAGTTGTTTGTTTTTCTTTTGCTTTGTCAGGTTTTGATGAACTAACTTGTTACTGTGGTGAGTCAGTAATTTACCCTCCTGTTCCTTGTGGTACTCAGCCACCAGAATGTAAAAACTCCTGTACCAGACCACATGAATGTGATCATCCAGGTAAGTCATAGGTACGCCCTCATACCTTTCTTAAATGGTCCAGTATCTAAATTTTTCTATGTTCTCAGATTTATTATTTACTGTAAATGTAAACAGATTAGATAAATTTACATCTCTTCTTTCCATGAATATAATGGTACTTTTTTCCAAGTAAAACGTTGGGGGTTTACACACTGTCCAATTTTAAAGACTTTTTTATCTATTCAAATAATAAAATCTCATTTTAGCTTTAAAGTTAAATACCATATTCTGAAAACTAAGCACATGGTGATCTCCCCTTTTTAAAAAATAAGGAAGATATGTTTTCCCTAAAACTATAATATCTCATTTTATTGGGACAATCAAGACTATGACTTACTTTCTTAATTAGTGCTAGATGTGCAGCAAATGTTGTTGTTGTAAAGCATGGTAAAGAACACATTGATCAAGTTACTGACACATGCTTTTTTATGCCATACTCTAGAAAAGTGGTTTTAATCTCTTTTTCATTTGTGAACTCTTTGGCAATCTTAGACCTAAACTGTAGACCTCCCAGAGATCCATGGACCACAGGTTAAAAACCATTCCTATAAAAGCTAATACTCAAAATTTTCTATTCAGCACAAGAGCTCGAGGAAGGAAGGACTTGTCTATGCAGCTAACATGTCATCCTGATTTTCAAGAATTTAAACCTAATAGAGTATCTCACAAACCTAAATTGTGTGGTCCTCAAAGAATAAATTAGAATATGAAAGGCTCTGTAATATACCTAAAATTAATGCATTTAGGAACTGTTTCCTGATTTTTATATCCCTGTGCTTGCAGTGTATCATACCTGTCACAGTGAAGAGAAGTGCCCACCTTGTACATACCTCACTCAGAAATGGTGTATGGGCAAGCATGAAGTAAGTGTGACTGTTGTTCAGCAAATTACAAATGACATTTTTATTATAATAACGTGGTAGCTTTATGTGGGCAGTTACTTCTAAACTTCATGTTATTTTGAAACTTTGAGAAGCAAATATCAACTGCTTACTCTAAGACTACTCCCCAAATACTAACTAAATCGATACTGACAGTTACTATGTTCTTAGACACACACACACACACACACACACACACACACACACACACACACACACACACACACACACACACTCTCTCTCTCTCTCTCTCTCTGGTTTGGATTTAAAATAGATTGCAAAAAACATAGTTTAAAACCATAAATTATTTTCTTCTAAAAATGTCTAATGTATTAAAATGAGGTATTCAAATATGAGCATGATTAAAAGTATTTGAGAAGACACTTCATAATTACACATTCTCTGATAGTTATAACATCTTTCCTTTTCTAGCTGCGGAACAATATTCCATGTCACCTCACTGACATCTCTTGTGGTCTGCGCTGCAATCAGATGTTACAATGTGGAATGCACAAATGTAAAAGGATTTGTCACAAAGGGGTGTGTCTCATAGATGAAGAGTGCAAACAGCCGTGTACTAATCTGAGACTGTACTGTAATCATCCATGTATGGCTCCATGCCATCCATCTTTACCTTGTCCTGCGACTTCTTGCCATGCAAAGGTGATGACTCTGGAACATGCTATATAATTCACACAGACAAATTGTGCACTAATCATTACAATGAAAGATTATTATAGACACATTCAAGTACTCACATAGAAACTTTCAAGATAATGCATACTGACTGTATGAAGGCTTTAATACAAATTATTATATTGATATGTGATAAAGCATGATGTATTTCATGGTTATTTCATTTTCAGAATTACTGTTAGTAGAATGGCTAGTAGCTTGAACAAAAGTATCTGCCAGATTTCTATTTTCTGTTAAAATATTTGTCCCAGATCCTCAGATGTGATCCATTCACTTGTAGCTCCTGCATAAGCCAGCTCTCTATTGCATAGCACGGAGACATGGCAGAGGAGAGTTGTGTCCTCAATTGATGTAAAATCATACTGACCTTAAACTAGTGACATAACATAAAGCAGCTTGCCGGGGCAACCATATAGATTAGTAGGTTTTGGAAGACTAGATTTCCTATATATTTGTTATAAAAAAAGAGGAAAAAATTGATTTATTGCTTTCATTGTATAATAGGTTGAGCTTCAGTGTGAATGTGGAAGAAGAAAGGAGAGTATGATTTGCTCAGAAGCATCTAGCACATATCAAAGGTTTGTATTAGTTATTTTATTCCTTGCGCTTTTGTGGACTTTGTTCTACAGTTCTTCAAAGTTGAGGTTTCAGGTTTGACTTTTACATGGTAACCTATTAGATTCACCTGTCCTGTTAAATATACTTTTCTCAAATTGAATGGGCTACCCTAAATATTCCTTCTCACATTGCTAATTGGAGGTGAGGTACACCAAAACTTTGGTTTCATGCCAGGGCTAGGATCTCTCATCTGTGGAACTCTGCAGAGTTCTAGCCATCCAGAGCAATTTAGATGCAGACTAGATATTTTCATTTATAACAATGAACTTGTGTTTAAATTTCTGCAGTTCTCTTATTTATTTACATTTGGATTCTATTGGAAACACCGGGAGGAGATTGGGACTTTCAAAATCCTAAATACATGTACTATTGGGCAGCACTTTTTTCTCTTCCTTTCAAGACCATAACAAAGTAAAGGGGTCCAAATCCTATGTGGCTCTTTCTGTCACTTCCAAGTCTCAGAGTACAAAATACCTGAAATATGTAGGAAAGAGCTCCCTAACTTGAGTGTGGAAAAGCTAGATGTCTGTGCGAAAGAGTGGTATGTAGTTCCTAGTTCCCATGTATGTCAAGACTCCATCAGTCTGTTAGAACTGGCTGCTGGGCCTTTCCCTTTACTTCATAACACAGGTAGGCGTCTCACAGATCACCAAAAAAAGTGTAAGCATGTGCTGAACATGGTTTGATTAGTCCCTTAACTTCAGTGAAACTACTCATATACTAAAGATTGTATTGAATTTGGGTGCTGGTTTTTTAGAATGCACCATTGTCCAGAATGGTGACTTTCACATATATCATGGCCATCTGTACTAGTGATCACTAGTTGTTTTCTTGTGGGAACACAGGATCATCTCCCACACGTTGTAAGTGATGGCTTTGGTCTGATAGCCTGATATACAGGAAAAAGTTACACATGCCATTCTCCCACTGCAAATGTGTGAGTGACAAAGGTAATCTGTATCAGAGCCAGAACAGTTACATTATCAGAGCATGCATCTGTTTGACATTAGCTGGTTACTGGAAACTGCAGCTATCTGAATTTATTACTCATACTCTATGAATCTGATGAAGGAATACTCTGAAAATATTCCACATGTGCCTTTAACAGGTAAAGAAACAGATAATAAAGCATTCTTCTCATTGAGAAGGAATATAAAAGAACATTTACTGGTCCAAAAAGATGTATAAAACAGTTTATATAAATTGGAAAGACCTTTTTTAACATCCTGAGAAGGTGTGAAAGGACGTCCTCCGGAGACTCATAAGCTGTTCTGTACTACTAAGGCATACTTGTAAGGCTTGTTCTGCCCTGGAGAGGGAGATGTTTAAACAGAAACCTACCATAAGAAGAAGCAGTGAATAAGAGGAGGGCTGGTCAAAGTATTGACCAGCAGTATTAGAATCAAAACTGTCTCAAACTTTTGCTTATAGAGTTGCTTCTGTTTTATTATAATTGGTGTAATTCTTTACTACTTAAATATTCCTGAAGTGTGTTACAGACTGTATTTTCAGAGTTTGATATCCATAATTAAAATAGTTACACGAGGGTTGAAATGTGGCAGTTGTTTTACATTTTTAACAGAGAAATGAAGAATCATTTTTTCACAAATGAAACTATAGTGATACTAGTTGGATACTGACGTTTTACCAGGGAAGTAAGTTAATATTTTTTTACTTTTATGAAAAATTCCATGGGGTATTTTAGTGATTCTGGTAAGAGTCTTAGTTTTACATCACATTTTAAAGTTGACACCTCCAGTAGAGTATATTTGGTAGTATGCCACCTACTGCTTCTCCCACATCACTTTCTGACCACCAGAGTTTCTTGGTTAGCTTCAATCAGAGCATAAGCCAGGCTTCATCCAACTTAGTTTTACAATATAATTATACAACCTTGTGAATTGACACACTTGCATGTTTGCTAAGATGCAACATAAATCTGTTTTGTGTAAAATCTGTAAAAATGGTACTTCCGATATCTTTCATTCCTTAGCTTTTCTGCTAGCAGCTTTGCCTTCCTTCTTTGCATCTGTCTCTTTGTCTTCTCTATCCAAAAGGTAGTTAGAAGTAGGAATGGAAATGGGTATAGGTGATGTCTCTGGCCTCTGTTGTCATAGGCTAGAAATGGGTGATAGAGAGGGATCACTTGATGATTGCTTACTCTGTTAACTGCCTCTGGGTCACCTGCCATTGGCCACTGTTGGAAGACATGATACTGGGCTGAATGGACCTTTGGTCTGACCCAGTATGGCTGTTCTTATGTAGTGTCCTGTTTTTGTGGAGTCTTGCATGTTAGCCACAACTCCCTGTGCCTACAGATGCTTCCAATTCTTAGCTGGTGTATGTCTCTTACTATCCCTGCTAGCCTCAGTTTTAAAAGTCTCCCTTTTCCACACTCCATAACCTTAAAGTAGTGATATGGCATATAATGGCAGGCTACTTGAGATTATTTATTTTTCTAGTGTCTCGTCCAGATGACTAGTAGTTCAGTGCTATTTGCCGAGAGGTCTTTTTGTATATCAAGAGTAAAATCTAATGCTTTTTTCCTTCCAGAATAGCTGCTATATCAATAGCCACTAAACTAACAGACCTGCAACTGGGAGACTCAGTGGAAATCAGTAGGCTGATTACCAAAAAAGAAATGAAGCAAACAAGGTAATTGTGAAGGATCAAGCATGGGAGGGATTCTATCAATCTATAAATGTTGAACTGAAATGTGTGTATTGCTGCAAAAAGGTGTAGTATTGAGGGTAAAGTCCCAAATAAAATCAGGAAAACTTTTAACAGCTTGTCTGTGTTTAACAGTACTGAAATTTTAGGATTCTCATTCAGTTTCCATAAGTATCTTCAAATCTTTGGGTTTTTAAAAACGAACAGATTGATTTCCCTACTCTATTCAATGGCAGCATGCTGCTGTCAGAAATGTATTTCAGATATAAGAATGTAAGAATGGCCATACTGGGTCAGACCAAAGGTCCATAGGTTGACTATGCGCTGTGTGAAGAACTTTCGCTTATTAGTTTTAAACCTGCTACCCATTAATTTCATTTGGTGTCCTCTAGTCCTTATATTATGGGAACTTATGAATAACTTTTCTTTATTTACCCTCTCTACACCACTCATGATTTTATATACAGCCTCTCTCCGAGTTACGAACGAGTTATGGACCCAAACACTTGGCCATAACTTGATCTGTTTGTAACTCTGACCCCATTGAGTTATACGCGACCGCGCCGTTCATAACTCGGGGACCGCCTTTATGACCACTCCATGGGAGCTTTGGTCGTAAGTGTGAACAGTCGTAACTTGACAGTTCGCAACTCGGGGAGCGGCTGTACCTCTATCATATCCCCCTCAGTCTCCTCTTTTCCCAACTGAAAAGTCCCAGTCGCTTTAGCCTCTCTTCATATGGGACGTGTTCCAAACCCCTAATCACTTTTCTGAACCCTTTCCAAGGCCAAAATATCTTTTTTGAGATGAGATCACATCTGTACACAGTATTCAAGATGTGGTCGTACCATAGTTTTATACAGGGGCAATAAGATATTCTGTATCTTATTTTTTATCCTTTTCTTAATAATTCCTAACATTCTCTTTGCCTTTTTGACTGCTGCAGCACAGTGTGTGGACGTTTTCAGAGAACTATGCACGATAACTCCAAGATCTCTTTCCTGATTTGTCATAGCCAAATTAGCCCCCATCATACTGTATGTATAGTTGGGGTTATTTTTTCCAACATGCATTACTTTACACTTATTCACCTTAAACTTCATTTGCCATTTTGTTGCCCAATCGCTTAGTTTTGTGAGATCTTTTTGAAGTTCTTCACAGTCTGCTTCTGTCTTGACTATCTTGAACAGTTTAGTATCATCCGCAAACTTTACTACCTCACTGCTAGCCCCTTTCGCTAGATCATTTATGAATAAGTTGAATAGGATTGGTCCTAGGACTGACCCTTGGGGGACACCACTACTTACCCCTCCACATTCTGAAAATTTACCATTTATTCCTACCCTTTGTTTCCTGTCTTTTAACCAGTTCTCAATCCATGAAAGGACCTTCCCTCTTATCCCATGACAATGTAATTTACACAAGAGCCTTTGGTGAGAGGCCTTGTCAAAGGCTTTCTGAAAATCCTAAGTATACTATATCTACTGGATCTCCTGTCTGCATGTTTGTTAACCCCTTCAAAGAACTCCAATAGATTAGTAAGACATGATTTCCCTTTACAGAAACCATGTTGATTTTTGTCCAACAAATTATGTTGTTCTATGTGCCTCACAATTTTATTCTTTAGTATTGTTTTGACTAATTCGCCTGGTACTGAAGTTAGACTTACCGGTCTGTAATTACCAGGATCGCCTCTAGAGCCCTTTTTAAATATTGGTGTCATGTTAGCTACCTTCCAGTCATTAGGTACAGAAGCCGATTTAAAGAATAGCTTACAAACCACAGATAATAGTTCAGCAATTTCCCATTTGAGTTCTTTTAGAACCCTTGGATGAATGCCATCTGGTCCCGGAGATTTGTTAACATTAGAGGAGGTTTTGGAACAAATAGAAAAACTTAATGACACTTCAATCCAGGGCAGCTCCTCAGATTCATCACCCACAAGGACGGTGCATATTTGGGAATCTTCCCTAACAACCTCATCCGTGAAGACTGAAGCAAAGAAATCATTTAGTTTCTCTGCAATGGCTTTATCGTCCTTGATTGCTCCTTTTATATCTCTATCGTCTAGGGGACCCAGAGGTTTTTTAGCAGACTTCTTGTTTCTAATGTACTTAAAAAACATTTTGCTATTTCTTTTTGAGTTTTTGGCTAGCTATTCCTCAAACTCTTTTTTTGCTTATTACATTTTTACACTTGATTTGACAGTGTTTAAGTTCCTTTCTATATGGAAAATGAATGTGTACTTCTGCAGCTATGGCTTCAGCAAACTCCTGAAAGTTACATATTTAACATTGCGTTTTCTTAATCTGGTCAAATAACTTTGTGGTGATCTCAAACCGTTTGTCACTAACAGTTACTAAAAACATGCCTAAGAGTGTGTGATATATTTTGCAATTTAGGACTACTGTCAAGCAACTTATACCCCTCATATGCTCCCTCTTACCCCAGCTGATTTGTATTCTCACATACCTGGTCAGGGTGTAGGGATTGTATAAATAGTCTCTCAGCTGTAATGCCTGCTAAACCTGCTGTTTCTGTGCACAGTTAGCAGATTTTTCCTGCAGCTTTGATTGCTGATGCTTGGATTTTGATAGTTTTTACTTCTGAGGCTCTGCTTTTTTGAAGAAGTCAGAGAGATAGTAAGAGCTCCTTGTTATGGTGTCAAGAAGGAAAACATAAGGACCTCCAGTGCAATGTAGCAAGCAACTCCTCTTCCAAAACATCTCAACCTTTGAACAAAAATAAATCTCACTTGGCTCCTCCCTGTGAATCCAGATATTTGATGTGACTTTCATCTTGCCTTTACTCACTGTGGATACGTCTACACAGCACGGCTAAAGCGGAAATAAGCTATGCAACTTGAGTTAGGTCAATTGCATAGCTTAAGTTGAAATACCTTAACTCAGTTTTTGGCACTGTCCACACAGCAGGAAGTCTGAGAGAGAGCACTCTTCCTCCCACTTCCCTTACTCCTCATAAAATGAGGGTTACAGGAGTTGGATTCAGAAGTCCTCCAGCTCAACTTTATTTTGACATTATGTTGAAATACCTGCTTGTAGTGTGGATGTGGACTGTATTATTTGGGAATAAAGTGGCCGTGTAGACACATGAGAACACTTTCCCCTGCCTTACCTTTATGGAGTTGGCTCTCTCTAAGGTGCTTTGCCAACACAGGAACCCCCAGATTAACTACTCTGTCATAGAACCTCATCCAATGTAATTTCTGTGAACTCAAAATTTCTGAAGCACAATCACTAAAAGAACCCTAGACCAATTATACCTTCAGTACCTACCGTTAATAAATAAATTCTTATAGGATCATCTGCAAAAGGATAAAAATTAACATTAGCCATGGTTTCATTAACACCTAAGGTAGAGGGGACACGATCTTCCTGTTTGCTTAGCAATCTGGAGCCATTCCTCTAGATTACTTCAGTTTCTTCCTTAGAAGATTTCAAATAGTTTCAAGATATGACTTTAATGGTAATAAGCATAAGGTATTGAGTAATCCAAAGTCCAAGAAAAATGTATCTTCAGGACTACATTCTCTTTTGTGTTATCTTAATTTTTTTCCATCTTCAAGAGATCAGATTGCACTATTTTAATTTTTAAAGAACAATCAAATTGTACCTGGACAGGACTAAATCTTTTGGAAAAATCAGATGTTTTGTCTTCTCGGCTGGAAAGAACAATTTCAAAGTACTGAGACACTCCTCTCCAGATGAGTCTGTTTATATGAAAGGTAAAAAGTGTGTAGTCTGAGAATATTTTATAAGATCTCTCTATTTCTTGGGCACAAACCAGCTGGTAATCTCTACATACATTGACGAACCAATACAACATAAATGTGACAGCTTCTTCTGATGTTGCTCTGGGTCCTCCGATCTGCTATTCTCCTTTGAAGTCCCATTTCCTTCTTTCTTTTTTTCTCCACAACTTACCCCCCACTCCTTTGGATGGACTGCTTACTAATTCTCATCAGTCTCTAAAATGGTTTATCTGCATATGAATACAAATATCTTATTGTAGATACGTCTTCTTTATACCGAAGAAACCTCTGGTTTGAGTTATTCCCACATTTACCTTTTGTTAACTTTTGTCTAATTTATTAGGGTAGTTATTTTCAACCTGTTCTCTGCAGACCATTGATAATCTTCAAACGAGGTTTCAGGAATCCCCTAATTGGCTTCTTGAAAATTAGCCATAAAAATCTTTGAAGTATTATGATCACTGCTACTTGTTTGAAAAAAGCTGTGCAAGTTAACAGTTTCATTCCTCTGTGATGTGGAAGAAAGGAAAAGTTAGCTATTGTATCAAGCCTTTTTCATGACAGGCCAATCTTCAGTCCCTCAATCCTCTTAGTAGGAAAGTTTGCTTATTATAGAGATGTTGCCTGCTTTGAGCCAGACATTTCTATCTTGGTAAGCAGTGACTCAGAAAAGGTTTTGGTGAATAATCAGTTGAACGTGAGTTCCCGGTGCAATGCTGTGGCCAAAGGAAGAACTAATGTGATTCTGGGATGCATAAACTGGGTAATTTTGAGAAGTAAAAGTTAATTTACCTTAGTACAGTAAAACCTGTGTTATCCGGCATGCTCGGGGATTAGGGTGTTCCGGTTATCTAAAAATTCTGGTTATCTGAGGGTCTCATCAACCTAGGAAAAACCAATGGACAATAATAGTAAAACTCAGGTTTTTAATATTGATAGTTTTGTAGTGTGAGGCAGCTGGGTCTCTCATTTCTATTTTGAGTTAAAGATGATTAGTACTTCTTAAATAAAAAACTAAGCCAATCATGGTAAACCAAGCCAGGCCTGTATGCCTGAAGATGTGACAGTATTGTGGCTGTGGGCAATGCTGGTTAACAAAGTTTTCTGATTAACAAAGTGCCAGATAACAAAGGTTTCACTGTATTTGTCATTGGTGTGACTGCTGTGGGAATACTCTTGAGTTCTATCAACATCATTCTTGAATGGTAAACAAATTGAAGAAGGTTCAGAGACAAGTTAAGACATCTGTGACAAGAATTCATCTTCCTTTTTGCTGCATCAGTCACAGACTGTGTTAATTATCTATGTGACCTCTCAGGAAGAAGCCATTGATAGTGTGGCCTAGATCCATCAGTTTCAGAGGATCGATCATCAAAACACACATCACACTGCTCTTTAGTCTGATTTCCTATATGTCACAGGCCCTGCAGTTACCTCTGTACTGGCCTTAAGGAACTCTAGGTCTGATGTAGATAGTACAGACTGAGATGCACAACAGCTGCACTCTTTACCTAGCTTCACAGGCTTCCTATGTGATATTGGACAGTGTCATAAGCTTGCATCAAAAGTGTGTTTAGATTAAAATAATTTTTCCATTGCTTTCAGGGGATAAACTCAGACCTTTTAACTACTTGTAATTGTGTGAATGTAACTTAATAAGCTTGCTGTAAAAGCATGATTGATTTTATTGGGTCATTGTACTTGAAATCTTATGTAAGTGTGCATAGATGTTTTAATGTTTTTTTTTTTTCTTTGATAATCTAGATTGCAATGTAATGAAGAGTGTTTCGCCCTTGAAAGGAACAGGTGAGTAATGACTTGGTATGCTTTTTCACAAAAGTATTAATTTGATGTATCTAAGCAGTACGGAGAAGATAATTTTTCCATGTGAAGAAGGGAACTGATAAAATGTCCTTCCCATATGCATCCCCATAGCATTCTGTACTAAATTATCAATAAGCTATTAATTTTAGAAACGTGTTTTAAAAGTGTATAACTTTCACATCAAAAGTCATTTCCGATTATTTCTAGTCTAATGAAATAGCTCCAAATACATTGACGGGGGGGCGCAGAGGAAGGGATTCTGCAAATAGCTATTTATCTGTAGCACTCCATATGATCAGTTTGTCATTGAAAAGCCATCTTTAAACTTAACTTATTTTCTAAATTTTAGACGCTTTGCTGAAGCTCTTCAGATCCGTGATGATTCTGACCCTTTTAATATCCGTACTTCTGGATCAAAGTACAGTGATAATTTGAAAGAAGATGCAAGGTATATGTTGGAATACATTGCTATAATATTGTTACTTTTGCACCCCAGAGCTGTCAAAAACTGTTTTTTCAAGACCGTTCCCCCAATCAAACATACAGAAAATGAGAAGGGAAAAGAAAGAAACTAAATTGTCTTTTTGGGTCAGAGGAAGGTGAATATAATTGTTCTTGAGCTCCAAGATGGAGTTGTGGGCCTTTTTGTATAGGCAAGATCTCTTGATCTAAACTATTTGAGATTAGTTTGGAAAAGATGGATTGGGTATCCATGGCTACTGTTGGACAAAGTACCCCATCTTAGCAGCAAGTGCCAATGTCTGATTGGACAAAATCAAATCTAGGATTGGTGATGGTATCCTGGTTATGGTAAGAAGAAGAACAATTATAGAAGATCTAGAAAACATGATCCAGTACACTTTGAAGTCACTGGGGCCAGGTCTGCACTAAAGGGGAAAGTCAACGTAAAATATGCAACTCCAGCTCCATCAATGACATAGCTGGAGTCAGAGTATCTTAAATTGTGTTTTGGCACCATACACACAGCGAAAGGTTGCTTCCATTGACTTCTCTTACTCCTTATGAGGAGCAGGAGTACTGGTGCTGATGCCTACTCAGTTCAAATTAGTGTGTCTTCACTAGGCTCACTAATTCGAACCCCAAAAGATCAATCTTCTCTGTAGTGCAAACAAGCCCTGGAAGTCTTTCCATTTACTTCAGTGAGCTTTGGATCAAGCTTCTTAATAGCCAAATATCCTGTATGAAGAGGCTATCTGATCATAAAAACCCTTTATAACAAATATCCTATTACTGAGTGTATTGTATTCATAACTGTTTATGCACGTATTACACATCTACTTGTAAATTTCGATAAAGATCAGTCCCTAATTCCTTTATATCTCCCATAATCTCCTTCTGTATTCAGTCTATTTGTATCCCCAATTTTAAACCTTAAAATCAAATATCAAATGACTGATATGTTTTATTGAGTCTCACCTTGAACACTATATACCTTTTGCAGCTCAAAAGGTATTCACTCTGCCACCTGGACCCCGCACATCAATTTCCTTTCATGAGATTAGCAGGAGACGTGCATTGTTTTCTGTTGTGCTTTTAAAGAATTATGGCTTGGACTCATCACATCAAGAATCCAAGTTTGACCTACCAGTGATATTTTGGTGCCACAACCTCCTTTTGTACATTATGAATGTTCCCATTCTCTAGAATTTTATGTATATAATTTTGGGTGAAGAGAATATTTGTATAGTTTTGTCTTCCTCTGTTTCTTGCTATTTTTCTCACTGTGATTTATAGACACCACTGTCTTGTTTTGCATAATAAAAGGGCTACTAAGACAGTTGAGTCCTGTTATGCCTCACTAGTATGCAGGTGCGTGCCAGCTGTATTGGGGATGTAAAATCCAGTTAGAAGGGGGTGGGGAACCCTTCATTGTTTGGTACCCCACCCATCCTCACAGAATGCACCATAAACACAAAAAGAACAAGCTACAAGTTGGCACTGATTTCTCTACACTAAGAGATTCTTGAGCAGCCAGAAAACTAGGTCCCTCATAGTATATCTTTCTGGAACATAATTTGCTTTAGCTCCCTTTCCTGTGAAAGGGTGTGGCACATCCACCCTAAAACAGAGACATCTTTCAGCAGGCCTTTGCCTGTCTAAAGAGAGCCAGAGCACATCTAACACTGTATTGCCTGGACTCAAGACTATGCAGGCAAACCACACCACACTATACTCACCCTTCCTCCTTCCTTCCATGGAGGAATAGATGCAAGTGGTACCCCACTGAAGAGAAAAGCCAGACATACACGCTAGCCTGTAGGAGCAGAAGGAAGCAAAGGAGGTGCTTCCAGACAGAGTGCGTCCTACAATTTTGGCTGATGATTCTATGCTCTGTGTTGTTTGGTTGTTCACTTTTAACCTTCTCCCACCTAATTTATTCAGTGGTATTGCATTATCCATGTACATATGTAGTAGGTAAATGCTGCCTTTATCTTTTATATACTAGGTAAGTTGTAATTCTTTATTATTTCAGGAAAGATTTAAAGTTTGTCAGTGACATTGAGAAGGAAATGAGAGTGCTCGTGGAAGCTGTAAATAAGGTTGGTGGTCAAAGAATTTGCTTTACATAAAGAGTGTTCATTTAAAAGAAATAATCAATTTATTAGAGTTGATGTCAAAGTCTCTTTAGCTTGAAATTCCAACTATTGAATGTCAAACAAATTCAGACAAAAAAATACTGCAAATTCTTAACAGTGAGGTAAACACCTTACTTAAGGATGTGGTGGATTTTCAATCACTTGAAGCCTTTAAATAAAGGTTGGATGTGTTTTTAAAAGATGCCCTGGTGCAACCTTGATGCAGGAATTGCTGGATGGGTTTTTGGCCTATGTTACATAGGAGGTCAGATTATATCAGGGTAGGCAAAATATAGTCCCCAGACTGGATTCAGCCCGCCACGATTGTCTGGGTTGCCAGTGCCTGATATGGCCCCACTCACTGCTGAAAGTGGCTGGCTGCTGGGGCCAGCATGTTTGTGCAGAATGCACTACAGCTCCCATTGGCCAGACACCAACCAATGGAAGTCGCCTTATCTGTTTTTACAGGTGCAGGCTGCCGCCAGTCCCACATGACACATGCTGCACAGACACAACCCCCTCCTGCATCCCAGACCACTGCCCTGAGCTCCTTTCTGTACCCAACCTCCGTCCCAGACACTATACCCTCTTCATAAAAAAATGCAGCCTTTGACCCACTTACCAAATTCTTGAAGTGGCCCCAAATCAAAAGTTATTACCCACCTGGACTGGATCATTTTAATTATTGATCAATTATTTGAATTATTACCTGGACTAATTTATTTTAATTTATTGCATCTGGCTTTACAAATCTGTGAATTTTAATATATTTTTATGAAGTAGAGGGAAATAATTCGGTAAAGGTAATTATATATCTTCATTTCAAAGATTATATGTGTATATAAGCGGCAAGGAGTCCTGTGGCACCTTATAGACTAACCGAAGGGTTGGAGCATAAGCTTTCGTGGGCAGAGACCCACTTCGTCAGATGCATGTAGTGGAAATTTCCAGAGGCAGGGATAAATATGCAGGCCAGAAACAGGCTGGAGATGATGAGGGGGATCCAATCAGGGAGGATGAGGCCCACTTCTAGTAGCTGATCTGGAGGTGGGAATTCCAAGAGAGGAGAAGCTGCTTTTGTAGTTAGCTAGCCATTCACAGTCTTTGTTTCATCCTGAGTTGATTGTGTCAAACTTGAAGATCAACTGTAGCTCAGCAGTTTCTCTTTGAAGTCTGGTTCTGAAGTTTTTTTGCTGCAGGATGGCTACCTTTAGATCTGCAATTGTGTGTCCAGGGAGATTGAAGTGTTCCCCTACAGGTTTTTGTATGTTGCCATTCCTAATATCTGATTTGTGTCCATTGATTCTTTTACATAGGGACTCTCCAGTTTGGCCGATGTATATAACAGTGGGGCATTGTTGGCACATGATGGCATATTTTACGTTAGTAGATGTGCAGGAGAATGAACCAGTGACAGTATGGCTGATCTGGTTAGGTCCTGTGATGGTGTTGCTGGTGTATATAGGTGTTGGCACCTCGGTGACAACTCTGCCCACATATATACACCAGTCCCTACGTAAAAGAATCAATGGACACAGAGTTTTCCTCTTTGAGGAAGTTTTATCACGGTTCAAATAAACTTCATGTTGCTTTTTTGCAAATATTAAACTGCTTATTTCCTAATGCTAAGTTTAATTAAGGTAATCTAAAAGTTTCTTTGTTCCAGTATGTAAAGCCTTTGTTATACATTCTGAAACATTTTGGTGATACTATGTCTCATCTTTACTTGGTATTTGGAAAATAATGTTGTGTAACAGAAGGTTTATTGCTTGTTTGCCAAAAGAAGATGAATAGCATAGCAGAGACAAATTAGTGTCGTTAGTTCAATCTCTCTGAATATGCCCTACTGAAATTCTTCTTGGAGTGATTGTGCCTGATGTGCTAATTATTTGACAATATGCTCTTGAGTCTATCAGAGAAAGCATGAGAAAATGGTTGGCGTTAAACAAATTCAGACTAAGGTATGAATTCTTAACAGTGAGAGAAAGTAAACAATGGAATAATTTCCAAGTTTCTTGGTGGATTTCCCCATCAAAGATAAATTTAAAAATCAAGACTGAATGTTTTTCTAAAAGCTAAGAATTATTTTGGAGAAGTTTTGTGGCCTGTGTTGTGAAGGGGATCAAACTAGATGATTACAATGGTCTTTTCTGGTCTTTGAATCTCCTTGATGTGCATTCATCTTTTGCACCAATGCAGAAGGGTTTCCCTTGGCAATACCTGTAGGAACAACACTGCATCATGCTCCAAGCTGAGGGAGTAAAGGGTAAAACTGCTCCTCCCTACTTTTCAGTTCATCTTGCCATTGGCAGTGGGAGCATGTGGTCATTTGTTCCTCTGTGAATGTGCAATTCTTTTTGAGTGCGGGTCCCTATTTGGATTCCAAACATGGCTGCACCTGCACTCTGTGAACTGGAACTATTCATAATTGTGTTCATTGTCCGCTATGTGTGTGTCATGCATCTGCCACATGGTGCATCTGAGACTTTAAGAGCCTGCACTCCAGTTCCCTCTTACCATCAATGGCCAGATACCCCTGTATCTCAGTGCTCCTAGCTATCAAGAAGTACAGTAAACTTCCGATAATCTGGCACCTTTGGGATCCAGGGGGTGCGGGATTATTGGATATGCCGGAGTACTGGAAGGGGGGCCATGAAGTGTCTGGGGGGAGAGTGGAGGGGGGGGGAACTGCGCAGCATGGGCAGCACTCCAGCTGCTCTGCCCCTGGCTTCCCCAAGTCCGCCGCTGGTCAGTTTCAGCAGCACTGGACTGGGGGAAGCCTGAAGCAGAACAGCTGGGGTGCTGCTGGGTTGGTCCCGCAGCGCGCCTCAGGTGAGGGGCAGTGCTGCGAGACAACCCAGCAGCACCCCAGCTGTTCTGCTTCAGGCTTCCCCCAGTCCAGTGCTGCTGAAACTGACCAGCGGCGGGCTTGGGGAAGCCAGGGGCAGAACAGCTGGGGTGCTGCTGGGTTGGTCCCGCAGCGCGCCTCAGGTGAGGGGCAGTGCTGCGAGACAACCCAGCAGCACCCCAGCTGTTCTGCCCCTGGCTTCCCCAAGTCCGCCACTGCTGAAACTGACCAGCATCAGATTTAGGGAAGCCGGGGGCCGAGCAGCTCCAATTGTCCAGCTGGCCAAAGCACTTCTGGGTTCCAGTTGGTGCCGGACTATTGGGAGTGCTGGACCACTGGATGCCGAACAACTGGAGTTTTACTGTACTGTGGTTTTCACCTGTTTGCCTTGTATATCCTTAATTTCATAGTTTTAGTTAGTTGGTTTTAGATAGAGGCATACTCCATGTTGGACTCTCCCCAGCCCACACAGGACTCTCCCCTCTGGTCTGGGAACTATGCTCAGGCAAGGTGACTTTGAATACGGTTTTGTTCCCTCACTCCTTCTCCATAAGCAGTGAGCACCAAAGCTGCCTTTATTGTGTGAGGAACATCCATATTGGTGCTCACTGCTCCACATGCCACTTTTCCATCTTGGACTTGGGAAGCTCAGGAGCTTTGTCTCCATAAGTTCTTCATGGAAGAAGCAATGCAGCAACATGCACTTTTAGATCCCACATCCGTCTGAGAAATAGCAGCAACAGAGGGCGCTTCTCCCTGCTGTTTTCACTAGGCACCAGTGCCACTGCCTCCACCAAATTTCGTCCTGTTCATAAGATGCACACTAATAGGTACAGGGGCAGCTTCCCAGCAGGAGCCATCACTAAAGACAGCATTATCTCCCACGATGTGCCAGATAGTGAGAAGTTGTGTGGTGACTCTGAGGCTCCCACTTTGAAGAAGCCTCATCTGGAGCACAAATCAAACCATTGCACTCTGCTGGGACTACCCTAAGCCATGGTGTCCATCCTACTGTCACTGTCTGCACTGTGCATATTGCTGGAACCGTCGGGTCTGCCCCATCCAGCACCACACATACTCCAGGATGCTTATCCCTTCCTTACACCAATAGCAAAACGGCTTCTACCCTTAGCTGGCTCTGTTGAGCTCTCTGTGCCACTGGTGGTTCTTTATTCCCCATTTCCAGTTGCAGAACCTCTCCTTATGGACTGCCCTCTGTTCTTCCTCCCCTCCTCTACCAGATCCATCTTCAGAGTTGTACTGGTTCTCAGAATAAGACCTTCCCTTCTCACCTGCTCATTCCTACAGTCCACATGCCACTGCTAGTTCTTTGGCCTAGCAGCCATATTGTGGCTCACTTACCCACAAAGAAACCCATTTGGGGTAGTCGCTGTGTGTGGCCATACTGGTGTGCCTGGGACCCATACTGCTGTCATGGCTTCTCCTGATGCCCCCATGACCTCCCATTTTCACCTTCTGTTGACCTCCATCTATGTCAAGATTCTTGTGAAGCTTCAACTCTTCTGACAGCCTCCATATCACCAGTAGGGTCCCTCCCTCCTGACTGGAGTTTCTTCATCACATGATGATGCCTTCATTCCACCTGCGTTCTCACCTCCAGATTACTATGTTCAATAATAGCTTTCTCCACCACATGGCAACTGCCCGCAACAGTCTTGTGGAAGATGTCTAAGACCCCTCACAATCAGTTCTTGGACATTTTGCAACCTCTGGGTCCTTCTGCACCACCTTGCCCATACATGATGCCATTATCCTGCCATCACAAGTGGTTTGCCACACACCTGTATCCTGCACCCCCCACTCCAAAATGAGCCAAATACAGTTTCCTTTGTCCCAGCTAAGAGTATGGACTACTTGTTCTCTCACCCTCCAAACTCCTTGGTGGTCCAGGTAACCACGGAATGTGCCCACCAGCAGCATGTCCATTCCACCTCTCCACGCCAGGTGGTAAGGAAGCTTGACCTGACTGGTCAAAAGTCTATTTTTACACATACCTTCAGTTCCACATTTCCCGTTAGCAGACCATTCTGGAAAACTACATCTTGCATCCCTACACAAAAATTGCAGCCTTTCAAGCTTTCCTGCCCCCTGATAAAAAAGCCAGCTTGTCAACACCCTACAGACAAAATGCTGAGGTGACTCTTCTGACCACAGTTGATGCTGCCAGTACAGCCACTTGCTCCCTGGCTTTTGGTTTTGTTCTCCAACATGACTCCTGACTATAGTCCAGCAAGTTCTCAAAGGAGGTCTAAACCACACCTGAACGCCTCCCAATCAAATGCTCTTCAGTGATAAAGCTGAGTCCCTCCATTCCCTTAAAGATCCTCAGGAATCTATGCCCCTGTCCCTATCCACTATCAACATGTCATCTTTCCAGACTTCATCCCTGGGCCACCTAGCAACCCTGTCCACAGCACCAACCTGAGCGCTTACCACCATTCTTGCTCACAGTGCCTACAACACTTTGCTGCCTCTGCCTTGGCTGCCTCTTCCTTTCCACAGTGGACCCCTCATATGGACCCCCAAGACAGAACTTTTCCTTCTGTGAGACCATGAACCTTCTACTGGCCACATATGCTTGTCCAACTTTCTGTCTCTCTCCTGGGCCACATGGCTGTCTGCACCATGGTCATGTCATTTGCTTGTTTGCACATATGCCTCCTCCAATTGTGGCTCTGCTTGGTTTACAACCCATAGATGACCACTCTCACCTGTATGTAGGCCACAATTGAAAAGGCCTTGTGCTATTTCTTACGTCTAGTCTGGGTTGGTGATCAGTTCTCTCAAGTTGCACCTGGTCATAATGTCAGGGTTCCCACCCTCACATTTCTGTTTTCTCTGCCAGATTCTTAAAAGGTTTAGCTAGATAGTTCCCTCCTTTGAGGAATCCACAATGGGACTTGAACTTAGTGTTATTAACACTTATCAGTCTTTGTCAAGCCATTAGCTGCCTGCTTGTGGTTACACTTTTCAGCAAGGTAGCCTATTTAGTAGCCATTGGGTCTGAGGAGTAGGGCTGATGCATGCTCTAGTTTTGCATACTGTTTTTGTTCAAATTCAAGCCACACACTGATAAGGACAAACAAAAGGATATGCACTTTGGGTGTTTGAGCTCTGGTCTTTTCTATAGACCAGGGCTCAAACAAACATCCAAAGCTCTTACAGGTCTCTTTCCATCTGTTTCCTATGAAGAATGAAGGATCATCCAGTAATGACATGTTACAACACTGAGGGTGTGTCTAGACTATAGGGATTTGTCGACAAAAGTGGACTTTCATCGACAAAACTATACCTGCGTCTACACTACCACCGAGTTCTGTTGATATAACGTCGACAGAACTCGGCAGTTTTGTTGACTGTGGTAAACCTCATTCGACGAGGAATAACGCCTTTTGTCGACAGAGTTCTGTCGACAGAAGGCATTATTGCATCTACACTGGCCTTTGCGTCTACACTCATGTCAACAAAGCGGCTTGCTTTGTTGACAGAACTGGATGTAGCCTAGATGCGCTTTGTCGACAGTATCTGTTGAAAAAGCCTCTGTTGACAAAAGCCTGTAGTCTAGATGTACTCATAGGGTATTAACCTTCTGAAACAGTTATCTGTATGCTCAACCAGAGCTCATTCAGCATCCACCGCATGTTAGTAATGTCCAGATTGTGGAAATGTGTAAAGCAGCAACACGGTCCACAGTTTACAGCTTTGCCAGATGTTATGCAATTACTACTACATCAAAGGAAGTTCTACTATAGGGAAAGCAGTTCCTCTCTTCTGAAGAGACTCCTCCTCTCATTTCCTTGGGAATCTCCTTGTCTGTAACCAAGTGTAATATACATATACAGTCACTTGAAGAAAGAGCTGTTGGTTATGTTTTTGTAACACAGCGTTTTTGCCCAAGAAATCAAACTTTCATATGCTCCAGTGTGAAGGAACCAAAGAGTTGGTAGGGTAGTTTCACTCTATTTATCTTCAGCTTGGAGCAGGCAGAGCATGAAGTGCAGGGATAACCATGCCTATGAGTATCACAAAGAAAAACACAGGAAATAAGCACATCTAGTGTAATGGACATATGCAGGATATCTCAAGGAACAGTTCTGAAAGTATTTGCAAGTGTTCTCTAGTTCTCTGAATCTAGTTTTCGAGATTCCTAAGTGCAATTTTAAAAATGAGCATTTTCTTTTTTAATGGATACATTTGTAGATAGTTCCACCATAGTTGAATGCAATATATGACCAATAAATCAGAGCCAACAGAAATTAGTAAGGATCCTAATGTGACTGTTAGCTCTTCTGACAGCAACATGTTGCGAAGTATTCATAGCATCACTCCATATAAGTTATTTGTAAAGGGCATTAAAACCTTTGAGATTAAACTTCCTTCAGGCTCTTGCACAAACTTCCTCCAAGAAATCCTGAGGAGAAATACAAGTTTATGTATTGGTAGCATGAAACTTCCTTTACCACGTCTCTCACACCTTCAGGAAGTAGGAATCAATCATTACAACTTCCTTCTGAATAACAGGTTAAGAATTTTTGTCCTATATTCTTTCTCTCATGCCTTCCTGGCAACAGCTTTGGTAAGTAGCATTATAGCACCACCTGTCTGGAGGCCAGTCCATTAGCAATAGTTTCCTCTGTCATGGCCTTCCTCTTCCTGTCCCACAAAATATTTTTCTGTTGCTTCTAGCAAAAAAAGCCAAAACAAGAGCAAAGTAGTGGACAAGAAGAACTACTCCTCTCCCTTTACTACTTACATGCCAGACCCTAGTGTGGTATATTCTCCATCACTTGAAGTCTTTAAGACAGGATTGAATATTTTACTAAAAGTTGTAGCTCAAACAAATGTTTTGTTTTCTTTCAAGAATTTGTGGGTGAGGTTCTGTGGCCTGTGTTATGCAGGAGGTCAGACTGGAAGATCAAAATAATCCCTTCTGGCCTTGAAAACTTTGCAATACAAGGACTCTTTCATTATCAGTGGGATTTGCCGTGATATGTTTAATAATTAAACCTGCCTCCTCTCACTAAGAATAGATTGTTCCATTTCAGGCCTCAGACATGCTCCCACAAGCCTTCACCCCCTTAGAGGCTCTCTTTTTTTTACTGCCATGATTTTATTCTCCTTTTTCCCCCCCCTACCCCCACACACACTTTCACCTAGCCACTCTGCAGATGCTAGACAGTATTGGAGCTTCTGTGCTTTAGTTATATAGTCCCATCCTTCTGCCCTTGGACCCTCTGAAACCTCTAAACAGCCTTGTTCTCCACCCAAAAAATACCTAGTCTGTAAGGGTTTTCCGGATGCAACTGGAGGAGTTTCTGAAGTCCTGGGCTCTGCATAACATAGAACTTGCTCCCCTTCCTCACCCCCATTTTAGGGCCCATGGGCTCAACATTTAGGTTTACAGTTGGAGGAGATTTTAGGGCCCCTGGAATGCAAAGATGAAAAGCATCAGCTGTTTGAAATGATTGAGTATCAGTCTGCCTTTTAAAATCTGGAAATATTTGCCTCTTCACTCTACTATACTAAATATTGTGTCATGGGGATGTAATACAGTAAAACAGCAGTGTGTCTAACTCCGACCTGAGGGCATGGGAGTACCTTGTGATACCTTAAAGATAATAGTTGCATTTTTCCCATCCCCAGAGTGGATGCTTAAGATACATTGTCTTTCCTCTTCCTCCCATTCATAGATTTTGTGGCCCTACCCTGGGATTGCACAGATAGGCAAGAATGTATTTCCCTTCTCTGGGTCTCTAACATATCTACCATTAGCCAGCCACTCACCACCTGGTTCCTGCGCAGCCTTCCGGCAGTGAGGGCTCACCACCCAGTTCCTGCGCAGCCGGATGAGCACTCCCCCGTCTCTTCCTAAGGCTATGCAGGAACCGGGCGGGGGAGTGCTCACTGCGCGGAGGTTGGAGGCTCCGCAGGAACAGGGCAGTGTGTGTTTTTAAAAAAAAAAAAAAGTTGTATACCCCGCACCCGAGTATATTGTGTGTGCGCGAGGAGTTTGTAAAAACAAATATAACCTGTGGGTTATATTCGCTAAATTAGGGTACCTTTATTCCATTTTGTCCTAATCTGGTGTTTAGTGATACACATTAATAAATGTTACTTATCGTTGTTATACCCTTTAGGAAACTTGCTTCATCTTGCCAGAACAAAAGATCAGTAAAAAGGACTGTCTCCTCTCCCCACTGTTAAGGAGCTGTCTCACTAATGTGCTACTTTGCATGGAGGCTCACAACTCCATGGTCTCTTCCTTCTATAGCAGCTCATAGCTCTTCGTCTGGGAGCTGCAGGACTCACATGCTGTCCGTAATTGCTGAGAGCTGTCTCCACCATTTGACAGTTCTGGCCATGCTACTTTGGCTCTTAGGCGGAAAATGTCACACAGGTTTCTGGAAGTCACAGAATTCATAATCTTATGACATATATCTAAGAAGATTAAGAGATATATCTGACTCTGCTTGTCTAGACGATCTGTCAGCCCATCGCCATGTCTAATACACTGCAACAATTGTTCCAGTTGTTCCATAGTCGTGTGTGCAAACAGAGTGTCTCAACCCATTCACTTTCTCAGCTACAGACTTCATTCCCTCAAAGTATCCTGGGTACAGAAGTTCTAGAAGTTTCTGTGCTTCAAGGGCTGTAACTAAGGCAAGCTTTGCTTGTTACCTTCTCTTGGTGGGTAAAAAGAGTGCTTCCTGACAGAACTGGAAAACTTTGGCTTCCGAAAGACCTTGACCAGTTTTTTAGATCCATCCTAAACTTATTTACCTTGTGAGCCTGAATGGCCAAAGTGTCTTTCCTTCTGCAAAGCTGCCATAAAGTCACTTCTGCATACATTATCTGCTACTGTCAGCTGAATTTGTCTGTGGGAGACTCTGAATTGGCATAGTAGTACTTCAAAGGCTCCCTGACAGGTGATCTCATCTCTGAGTTCTGCTAGTTGCTACATCTACTGAGCATCTTATGTTTCTGGATAGGATGGGAGAAGACAATACTATGACAAATAAGATCATGGTTGAGAAGCCTTACCTTTTCTATTAATTAAATATCAGAGGCAAAGTCCAAAGTACACAGATATTAGAACAAACCTATTAATATTTACAGCATAATTGTTTAAATGTCTCTTCTGCAGATTTGATTCTCCTTCGCTATGGAATTTCTCTTCCACATCTTAGCTAGAAATGGACATTTGTAGATTTAATAATTTGATTTGAATACTTCCTAGATTATTAGGAATTTGCATTTGTGCAATACTGTGTTAAATTAGTTAATTACATTAAATTTGCCTAGATTTGCACAAGTGTTCTGACTGTATCCTAAGATTTATCATAATACATTGCCTGTCTATTGAAAAAAGAGTATCTCTGCTAGTACTTAATGATTTAGATAAGAATTTTTGCATCATTTGTGAAGCCATTACTTTTTAGCACACTGTTTTTCAATGTGTAATCGGTATGTTAATTAGGCACTTAAATTTGTAAATTACAGATACTATAATGCATTTCAAAATATGTCTGTTTTACTGGGTAATTTTTGGTTTACCTTTATACTAAAGCTAATTGATTTGACTCTTTCCTGTTGACACAGTACTGTTTTATCAAATGCCAGGATTGTTATACTTTGTGAAAGAGATATAATCTACAGGATATGGCAAATCCTTTTAGATACAACATATAAATAAATTGAAAAAGCAGAATAAAAACATTGCATGTTATAATACCAAGTTTACAGTTATCTTCCAATTTGTTGTTCTAGTCCTGCTGGGACAAAATATGATGCAGAGATTTGTCAGACTATACCTGGTCTCATGCATTTTCTGTATCAAGTACTTTAGCTATGGAAATCAGTGGGGGGAGTGTGTATGTATTTGTAATGTGAATTAAATGGAATTTATTATGCACATGGTTTTCATTAACAGAATCTCATTCTCACTGTACGTGCAAACTGACCTTTGTCTATGAAAACAATCATAAGCATACAATTTTATTTTTCTCTTAAATTCAGGGCAAACATTCAAAAAAGAGTCACTGTTATCCACCCATGAACAGAGATCATCGCAGAATCATCCATGAGTTAGCTCAAATTTATGGCATTGAGAGTGTGAGCTATGACAATGAACCAAAGCGCAATGTTGTTATCACTGCAGTAAAGTATGTCATACTTATCTTTTTTTATTTTATTTTGAAAAGTAATTAACATCATTTGGTAGATACAAATACTGTGTGTTCTGTATTTTGTTCTGAATTTATCTTACCGTTTGCAAATAACGTTCTTTATACTTTGTTAGTTCTATAGTAATAGCTTTTAAATGTCTGATGTGGAGGGGATGCATAATCTCACATGCTTGTATTTCCATCGGTTTGGAGGTATTTCTTCTGATTTCACCTCAGTCTCCCATAAGTATGACAAGACTGCTCCTTTGACTCCCAGCTGTGATTTGCTGTGGTTCTTACCTTTGGTCAAAAAAGGTTGCTATCCAGTAACGCATGGGCCTGAACTCCTGCTGATTGCTTCTCCTCCTGCCAGCTTCCCCACAGTCTGTTTTAATTCTTCAAGAGAAGGGAATGGGGCATTAGCTAGATGCAAGGGGTAATGGGAGGAACTTTTAATGGGGGTATAAAGAATGGAATATGATGGACAACCCTCCACCCCACCATGCTTCATAAAATTAACTTATGGACACAAATATGCATAACTCAAAGATGCTTTGGAGAAAATACTTCATGTAACCTACAAATGTTAATGTCTCAGTCTGCTGGATCTGTAGATCTTATTTTGGTGCATGTATCACTCCTGTATCTAGAATTAGGATTATGAAGTATGAATGGTTTATTGTTTCACATATGCAAATGAAAGCCTTCAGAGGTGTTTCCCTCTGTGTCTCTGTAATCACCTGTAAACAGCCCCTATTTACTCTCTCGATTGTTCAGTTTAAATGATGTATAAGTTTTGACTCAAAGTAGTGCAGCATTCTGATTTAATGTTTTTCTTCTTTGCCTAAAACAATGTGTCAGAAGTTCTTCTAACACCTCGGTGTTAGATTTGCTGAGACACAACACGTTGATCTTGAAGTCATTTACACCATAGTTAAAACTTATTTTTTGTCTTAATCTTTATTTTAATATACTGTATGATTTGTCTATTTAAACATGTGGACACAAACACCACAAAATTTGTTACCATTCTCATCCTCTAGAGGGAAATCCGTTTGTCCAAGTAATACACTGACTTCTGTTCTAGAGAGGGAAATGCAGACAAGGCCTCCACCACCTATTCCACACTACAGACAAGCAGATAAGTACGACCTATTTAGTTATTTAATTTTTTAAATTTAATGTTTAACAAAATGACGGTATGGACCAGAGCCCTCACAACTTTGTCCAGGCATCTCACTCTTGCTATACCATCCTCAAGCTGTTTTAATCTTGGGTATCTCTTAAACAGATTGTTAAATGTGACACATTATGATGAAATGTATTATAATTCAAGACATTCATTAGGGGCTACCTGTGCCACTTTGGTTTTTAATCAAGAGCAGTAGTGAATGAGCTTTTGTGATGTTTACACTATGTGACGCATCATTTATTATTTTGGTACAATAAACAATTATTGAAGTATCTTGTGTACATTGATGAATTCTGAACATAAAAGATCCTCTTAGCTATGTACCTATTTGTAACTGACAATATTGTAGAGACTTGAATATTTAACATGAAAAGGAGTTATTCAGCATCAACATTTTACTGTATACCTTTCTCATAATGAGAACAAAAGGTCACTCACTTATTAAATTTATTCCCATTTTATTTGAGTGTCAGCAAAAATAAATACTGCTCTTAAGCTAAATAGTCAATTGTTATTGGCGCAAGAGGTAGACAGTGTAGCTAGGCTTTTAAAATGCTCGACAATTTTATAACCATTCTAACTATTCTTTGAAAGCTAAGATAAATTAGTACATGGCATAGTGTGGTTGTCTGGGGGAAGAGGGGCCATTAGCTATGGGACTTCACATTCCTTGGGTACTGACAGCTGCTGAGGCAAGATACCAGATTCGTTGGCTGTCTGGTCTTATCTAACATACCAACACCTCTGTTTATAAGACATGGTGATCTTGAGTGTGCATAGGCTTGTAACATTGTGTACTTCTTCATAACAAGAAGTTTTATTTGTTAGTTTTGTGTGTCAATGTTTTGTTGAATCTGGATTTAAGATGATCATGCCCTTAATGATACTGAGAAACAACAAACTTCTGATGCCAGCAATGTCTTCTGTTCTAAATGTTAGAGTATGTAGCAGAATATGGGCCTAACTCTGGTTGGTGCCTTCAGGAACTATCAGAATAAAATGAATAACAGTAATAGGTTGCTCATTCTTTGAGAAGACTCAATTCACCAGAGTGTAAAATAACAGAACCAAGATTAAAATCCAGTTTAAAACATCTTCAGATATGCCTAAAACAAGGATTTTAAATCAATTGCTTAGAAATGTATATAAAAGTAGCTCGACTTTCAGTGGTGCTTAGACTTGCATCTCCCATTTACTTCACTGGAATTAGCAACTTCTGAAAAATCAGACCACTTATATTTAGGAATTTAAATTTATGTGGCTAGGTTTGAAATTCTTCACCTCTTGATTAAAATTAATTGTAAATACAACATTATTTAATATTGAAATTGTAATCAGAAGCGAAATTTTTGGAAGCCTTCATGTAAATGTCTTCAGATATATTCAAGGGCGTTGACCTTCAACAATCCCTCATTTCAGAGTCCTTTTGATTTTTGCATAGATTTTTGAAATGGACAATATTCAGTACATTGGCTCTTCCGTAACAAAGTTTTCACTTCCAAAATAAACTTCCTAAAAATCATTGTGTTGTAGATAAATTGCTTGTGGTATTCTACCTTAATATGGAGTGTCTGAAATGTTAATATTAATATTTATGAAAAGCATAGTTAATAAAAAAAATAGTTGTTTTTTTTTTCATTTCAGTGGGCACTGAAATGTACATTAGAGTAAATATGTAAGATTTTATTTCTGGAAAACTTTGCAACAGCTTTCTAGTGTCTGCTGTTTGTTGATGTTGTGGTCCTGTGGCATAATGTACCATGAGATGTTATGGTGTGTTTACATCACTTTGATAGCTTGGGGGGAAATCAGTGTGTTATTTTTTCTTTTGTAATTCTTTCATTTACCTGAAAATTGCTTTCTGTAATATTTTATGGTTTTAATTTCAGGAGTAATGGAAACAGCGGCTTGCAGAAAACATTAAAAATGGAGCCAGTAATTGACTACTTTGATGTCCAAGACTGAAATGATTAATCTGACATTATTATTTAGAAAAACAGAAGTAAAGATGCAGATCAAGCTTCAAGATGCTTCACATTTAATTAGATGATTAATGATTCAATATATTCAAAGTGTAAAACAGTTTAAAAAAAAAAGCACTGGTGAGTTAGTGCATGAGAGAGTAGCATAGTCAAGAAATTATCAAAAATGTAACCTCTGAACATTGCAAGATAAGCTATTAAAGGCCAAATTCTGACTTCAGATGGATGTGCAGAACTCTTACTGAATGCACTGAGGACTGAATGTGGTCATCAAAAGTCAGCTTATGGCTTATTTATTATCAGTAAAAGTGATATTTTACATTTGTCGGCAAATTTTCAGCTGCTGTGCATATTTTTACGTAAGTTGCAGGTGCTGGTGTATTTTTCTCTGTGGGCTTGTATGTGTTTCTTTTTTGCTGGGAATCAGAGTATCTTTAATGATGTAAAACTGAATCCATTAATTTTTAGCTCAAAGAAGTGGAAATAAAATTGATTCTATTGAGGTAGTGATATTAGTGGCAACCTTTCCAAAGATTTATAGTGCTGGATCCAGATGTACTAAAATGAACAACTGAATCACAAATTGATACAATGTAATCCTAACAGAGAGATATTCAAAGAATTTTCATGTGATTTTTTTAATCATTCCATTTCTACTGCAAACACCTAATTTGGGTCTGAGTTATTCCCACATGGAACAAAACTAACAGTTTAGCTCAACTTTCATATTCTAGTGCTTAGGCACTCCGCCACCTGCTATCGAGGAGTACATCTCATGTTGACTTGTATTTCAGGAATTTGGTACCTTCCAGTTCTTATTCTTGAGGTACAGGTAGGAAAATGCTGTTTGTGGGTTATTAAACAAAAGAATAGTTTAGTTTTCTTTGGGTTTTACTTTGTCTATTCAAACCAATTGCAACCATTAATTGAAAAATACAAAAAAATTAAAAACTCTTTGACAGAGCCCCACAAATGGCTCTATTCCACAGAGATAAATTATATGTCTAGAATTGTTAAACTGATAGCTTCAATGGCTTCAATTTTTAATCTTTTCCTCTGTGCAAGCTTAGAGCACTAGTTATGTAGTACTTATGTTGGAATAAGAGTTGTGTTTTCAGCAATTCATCTTCTTAAGAACGTCTGTGTTAAGGCTCTCTCAATGAAAATTGCTCTTTCATAATCACGTTACACTTTAAATATATTGAACAATTCAGCAGCCAACAGAGTCTCCAAGATTTGAAATTGTTTCACATTAATGGTTTTCCTCATGTGAAAGGAGAGTTGAGGACCTTTCCTGGGGAAGTATGATAGTAGATCGGGTCTTTAGCTGATGTAAATTGTCATCGCTCCATTAACTTCAGCTGAGCTACAATTTGTTCAGTTGAGGACTTGGTCACTTACTCTAATAATCTTTCTTCCTCACGCTATTCTGCTTTATCGCACCCCTCTTGAGTGTACTAAAAGTTACAGCCCTAAAAGTTATTCCTGTGTGCAGCTCTTTGTACCCAGGGGCAGCTTCTTTCTGCATGTCCCAGAGAGCTGGTGGAACTTTTCAGAGGCTCATTCTGGGGTGGATATAGACTGTGGCAGGCTGACTTGAGATAACTGTAATGGTCTACATTGTGAGGATATTTGGTTTCTATGGCTTTCTGTTGCATGGGTGTAAAACTTATTTCATTTAGGAAGTGACAATGCAATGTATGTGTTACTAATTAAATGTTTGAGATACATTTTTTCCACTTAAAAGAACACTGTCAAGGAATGATAATTTTTGAGAGTCTTTATATAATGAATTTCACATAATGAAATTTTTCTTTCATTTAGTGAACAGAAATGAACTTTTTTAATGAATGAAAAATGAGCTAGCTGTTAAGATTTGGCATGATAGTACAAAATTCTTCAGGAAGTTGAGCCCTAGTCTTGCAAGATGTTTAATATTTTCAATTTCTGTTGACTTCAGTGAACTGGTTCAGCACCTTTCTAGAAGTGTGATTTGGCAGATATTTACACAACTAAGTAGGCTGAACATGAGTCCCATTTAATTCGTGTCACTGCATGACTGAATGAAGATTTGTAGGATGGGCCCGTAGTTTATGATTCTGCATTAATTTGCTTTCACCCAAGATTTCACTTAAAATAGCTAAAACATCACCTCCATACTTGTTTGACATTTGTATAAGGCTTTTGAAGCAGGATGTATAGCTCATGTACTTTAATCAGTATTTTTAATAAATTGTGATTTTGAAGCTTACATGTGAGGCTAATGAGAAGCGGTCTAGAAGATGTTCAAGTTCTGAATAGCTCTTCTAATTCCAATTTTTAAGCTTAAACTGAGAATTTTCAGTTTGCAATATAATAAATATTGTGAATTCATATATATTGGTTAATCACAATGCCTATAAAATGTTTAACAAATCTTTTCCTCATTTGTGAAAATTCTTGTATCTCCAAACCTATTTTAATACCAAGGAGATCAAAGCCTACACAACAGCTTTTAAAAATCACTGGCACAGAAATATTTATTCAAATATTTTTATTGTAATAGTTCAGTTAAAAAGATAATTTATGCACTTCCTTGGCGAAACAATACCTAACAAGTTTTTTTCTAAAATACAATTTTACAGCATTTATAAAAGAGTTCAACTAGGTTTATTGTGGTGTTTTGCTTTCTCTTATGGTTTGTTTTTGATGCAACATCTATAATTTGTATAGAGAATTGTACTAGCAGCTATAGTTTTGGAATCCGTAACAACTAGTACATCATTTTACTCATAAGTATGCACCTAATGTAAATGCTTTTTTAATATACTGTTTTGTGTTACTACTTATTCTGAGTCAGCTTAGTTATCTGGGAGAGAACGATTGAAGTCAGTATTCCACCTTGAATGTGTCAGTTATGTTATACAGGGCTCAGAACAATACTGTATTTTGTACATTGTTCTGTACTGAGAACATTACAATAATTACAATTCATTACAATAAACAAATTGCCTTAGAGACAGGGCAAATTGATACAAATACCTATAACTTTACCAAGTGCTTTTAAACTATTGTATATATAAATGCAGGCAGAATTTTGGCATTGGGACTGTGTAACTGTTCAGTGATTTTAATGTGTTAAGAAGTGCTCTGATTATTCAGTGCTTAATGTACATTAATCTGTGAATAATCTAAAATCCTAACTGTGCAAGTTAGCTATGGAGACCACTGTTTTGTGGCAGTTTTACAGTATGTGCCTCATAATGAAGTAAGCAAAAGAACATTGCCTAAAACACTGTTTTCATAAGTTATTTGGTGACAGCTATGTGTATATTTCACTTGATTTCTTTCAAGTTTAATGTTGTAACAGGTGACTTACTGTATAAAGCTGTAATAAAATTAAGTTCAAATTGCTATGCTTTGTAGTCGTTTGTAAACTTTTAGGTCAGTGTACATCTGTTGGAAGGTTCTTAAAATGCTATAGGAAAGCAAATATTTAAATAAACATGGGGGGATCCTTCCCCTCAAATTCTAAAATATCAGGTACAATTTCCTTCTTGCACTTCATCATTTTCAAACAAATGTGTGTGTGCGTGTGCGTGGAACTATTTGCAATTTATGTGGAATTCTAGAATAATTCAACTCAAGATTTTATCATGAGTCTCAGGACATATCTGTAAATCATTTTAACAGTTTGTGCTGGTCTTCTAGTTGGTGGTATTTTATAGATTTTCTTTGGGGGAAAGCATTCCCTGTTCCCTGCTCAGATACCGGACTATGCCAAAAACTTTGAGCTTCAAATTTGTCACTTCCTGCCACCTGATAATCCAGGAATTGCTCTCATAAGCATGAGACTCCTAAACCCTAGGATCATCTGGCATTAACGAAGACTGACCATAGTTAACTTCAGTTGTCCACGGCACCATCTTCCTCTGCATCTACATCATCTCCTCCTTTGGACAAGTAGAAACCCTCTTGCACTGGAAAGATAAGATTCTGTTGCTCCTCACAGGACATTTTTGCTCTCCCAGATTCAGAATTGCATTCTCCATCAGGCCCCTCAATATCCAAAGAGATAATACCACCACCAAGGGAGCAGATTGTCACCCGTCTCATTTTGAGAATACAACTCTCTTCCAGGGGCACTTAAAATACTTCAACTGGATCTGAAAACGGCCTTCACTGCATCTGGAGATTCCATACTACCCAATGAGCCCTCCCCCCACCCTCAGCCTGCATATTCTCCACTGCACAAGAGATCTGAACTGTTGTTACTAATCTCTGTTTCCTCTAACTCAGTCAACTGCTCATCTTACAGGGAAAACTGCTGTAGGGTGCTCCTGATGTCTGGAGCTGCTCTCCCCCCGCCACACACAGGAAAATGTAGGGTCCTCCTGTGGTGGTGTAGAGCTGCAGGGGTCCCCTGCCACCTGGCAGCAGTTGGGAGCGGTAGAGTATCCCCACTGTCCGTGGCCTGTTCAGAGCTCCAGACTCTTAAGGATCTCACTGCACAGCCCCAACACACACACATCTCCCTCACTGCCCAGCATGCCCTCCCCTAAACCCATTTCCCAGTGCCTCCCGACAAACTCCCTCAGAGACCCAATCACCCACATCCTGGACATACTTGTGCTCCAGCCCCTACTGGGAGGTGACTGTCCACTGGGAGGAGTGAGCCTGCAGTGTGGCTGAGGCCAGTAATGGATAGCTCTGGCCCCATGGGAGTGGCACCATCAACCAGGATGGAGCAGGAGTTGGGCCTTCCCAGTCTGCTGTCCCTCAGGATCCATTTGCCTGGAACAGCCCCCTGCATTGGAATGCTGAGCTCTTCTCCAACCACAGGGGGCTGCTTTGTTTTCCATGCTGGCAGGGGTGCTCTAATAGGGCTGTGTGGGGCTTTCTCTCCCTCAATCAGCCCAGATTCAGGGGTGGCAAACTTTGAATTTTTAGGTGCCCATAGAATAACATGCCTAAGAAAAATAGCCCTGAAGCCAGGCCACCCCTTACTTTAAGAGAATGTTAGGGAAGTGGACTGGACTAAAGAACTCAAGGATCTGAATGTAGATGAGACTTGGAATTACTTTTAAGTCAAAGTTGCAGAAACTTTTTCAAGTCTGCATCACCTTCAAGAGGAAAAAAAATTAATAAGGAATGGTTGCAGGGCAAGCTGGATCAGCAAGCATCTCAAAAGGTTAAGAAAAAGCACAGCCTACAAAGGATGGATCAGTAAGGAAAGCTATCTCTTGGAGGTCAGAAAGTCTAAGGGAAAGGTGAGTATTACCAAGTCATGTAGAGTTGGACCTTGCAAAGGAGATTAAAACCAATGATATTAGGTTCTATAGCCATATAAATAAAAAGAAAACAAGGAAAGGAGGAGTGGGACAGCTAAGTACTGATGATGGAGTGGAGATTATAGCCGAATACCTAAACAAATGCTTTGCCTTAGTTCTAAATCAGAGGAATTAGGGGTTCTAGGATAGCAGTAAGGAGGCTAATGGAACTGAGGCTACAGAAGTAGAAATGGCCACATTTGAAGTTGTAGTAAGTCAAACAGTTTACTGTGGCTAAATCAGGAGGCCAAAGGGATCTCTCTCCAAGAATATTAAAGGAACTGGCACATGAGATTGCTAAACCAACAACAAGGATTTTTAGTTACCCACTCTCTTGAGTTCCTGGATTAAGTTTCTAGTGCCTGCAACATGAAGAACTTAAAAAATAGCCTCGTAGCACCTTAAAATATGAAGGTCTGACTAGATCGGGGTCAACAACTGATGGCTCACAAGCCAAATATGACTTGCTACTTGAGCTCAGTGCCTCCTTGCCCCCCTGTAATGGGGAGCCTGCGCTGGTGATCTAGCCTCACATCTCTTGCAAGATTGGAACCAGCACCAGCTTCCTGCAGGAAGGGGAGGCGGAGTGGAGAAAGCCCTGAGCCTTGCTGTGTGATTGGGGAAGAAGCCGAAGTCACAAACAGTTCAGCACGCGCTCCTCTTCCCCCTCCCCAACCTGGAGGAACAAATCAGTGACCAATGTGCTGCCTGGAGACATTTCCCCCTGCTCCATTGGCTGGAATCCGGTCTGAGACAAGAAGCCTGAATGCTGTGTCCCTGCTGCTCCACACACTGCTCCGCCCCTGCCTTGTGCTGCCTGTATGTGCTGTGCACTCGCACCCGCCAGAGCCCCATAGGGCTGCTGGACCCTGTCATCAGCCAGAGCACCTTCCTGGTGCCAGCAGGGCTGGACCCTGACCAGCCTGGAGAGCAACAAGGAGCATGACTGAGCAGGCCGGTTCCCATCCATGTCTGGACCCACAGGCCAGACTCCCTGAGCTCCTGGCAAAGTGTGGCCTCCATTCCACACTCGGCCCTTGGACCGCCAACTTATTGTGTAACTTGTGTGGAACAGCAGCTGGCTACTGTGTGGGAGCGACTTGCATTTGTTACAGTGAATAAACCCTGTTGGAGACCCTGGAAAATAAAAAGTGCTGCCAAGACCCTGCACTCCTGCCTCTCCCTGGGGTGATACTCCGCAGCCACCTCCTGCTCTCAGCCTGACACCTACCTCCAGTCTACTCCTGCCCCCTCACCCTGAGCAGCCACCAGCCTGCTCCTGCACCCTCCCACTGGCCAGACACCTTCCTTCCAGCCTGCTCCTGCACCCCACCTCCCACCCAGATCCCGCACCCCCATCCCTATCCCACTTACTGATAGCTCTGTCCTGCACACTGGACCCCTCATTTTTGGCCCCACCCCAGAGCCTAGGGGGCCCCACAAAATCCACTAACCCTGGAACTGCAGAAAAGTTAATCTGGCCTGAGATCTTGAACCTCAGTTCTCCCTGACTCTCCTCACACCGTGGGGCTGAAGTGCCAGGGTAGTGAAGTGTCCCAGTTGGGGGCCACATCACAGACAGCTTGGGGTTTTGTTTTTTCTTCTCACTTGTGTGGTCTCTGATTTGACAGTATTGAAACCTTTTGCATTGGACATACAGTATTTTACTTTATTTAAAAATGAAGCCTGGCCAAGAAGCCCCCAGTTGAGTCCCAGCCCCTATCTGGCTGCAGCATCAACACTCCTGCACACACACACCCCACACCCCAGTCCTGAGCCCCTCATATCCCCAAACTCCTGCACCCCACATCCCCAGTCCCCTTCTGTCAAACTTGCACTCCCCATGCACCTCCAACCCAGACTCCTGCACCCCCATATCCCCAGCCCCCTGCCATAAGAGTGACAGAAGACAGGCTGAGTACATGCATGAAGCTGGATTAGAGCAGTTATAATGTAAACTTCAAAGATGTGCAGAAAAGATGCAGCAGAAGTCCCATTAAATAAAGTCTGTAAGTACGTTTCATTTAGAATCATAGAAACCCTAGAACTTGGAAGAGTCCTCAAGAGCTCATTGAGTCTAGTCCCCTGCCCTCACAGCAGGACCCAAGCACCATCTAGACCATCCCTGATAGATGTCTATTTAACCTCCTCTTGAATATCTGCAGAGATGGAGATTCCACAACCTCCCTAGGCAATGTATTCCAGGGTTTAACCATCCTGACAGGCAGGAAGTTTTTCCTAATGTTCAACCTAAGCATCCCTTGCTGCAATTTAAGCCCATTGCTGCTTGTCCTGTTATCAGAGCCCAGGGAGAACAATTTTTCTCCCTCTTCCATGTAACACCCATTTAGATATTTGAAAACTGTTATGTCCCCTCTGTCTTCTCTTTTCTAAACTTAACAAGCCCATTTATTTTAGTCTTCCTTCATAGGACATGTTATTAGACCTTTAATCATTTTTGTTGCTCTTGTCTGGACCTTTTTTAATTTCTCCATCTTTCTTAAAAGGTGGTGCTCAGAACTGAACACAATACTCCAAGTGAGGCTTAACAACGCAGAACAGAATGGAAGAATTACTTCTCGTGTCTTCAGGGGGTAGCTGAGTTAGTCTGTACAGGATAAACTTAAACAACAAATGGTCTGGTAGCATCTCGTGTCTTGTTCACAACTCTTGCTAATTTATCCAAGAATCATGTTTGTTTTTTTAATGCTATTATTAATCTTTATGCCAGTTATAAAAAATATTACATATATTTTCAGTCATGCAAATAAACATTCTTATACTGGCTCTTTATTGACCACTTGTTCTGAATTTTGATATAGTTTGGCTCTTCAGTTTGAAAGGGTTGCTGACCTCTACACTAGATGATCATGGTGGTTCCTTTTGGCCTTTGAGAATATCTCATATCTCAATAGTAAGAGTGCTTGTCATAGGGTCAGATTTGAAAAGATGCCTCACCTGCTCATGCACTTTAAATTCCTACTAGGCATCGATAACATCTAAGTAACTTTTAAAATTGGGTTTTTAGTAACTAAAAGGAGTTACACACTTTTGAAATGTGTTCCTACTGTGGCCCTCTTGCAG